CGATAAATTGAACAACACTAGTATAACACATCGTAATTAGGCATAGGATTGAGACAATATAAGAAAAACTAAGAAACATGAAAACCAGGTAAATTGGCGGCGCATAAGTACTCGTCACCTCACATATACACCGCTCACATGAATTTCACTTAGCAAGTAATCTAAGGTTCCTAATTCCCTCAAGTCAGGGTTAGACATAACACTTACCTCGCTCCGAAGATCACTTAATTCTCGATCACAACTTTTTCTTTGGAATTCACCTCCAAACCACTCGTATCTATTCAAAAATGACTCAATAATATCAAATATTGCTAAAGGAATTAATTATATTTGCATAAATTAAATTTCCTAAATTTTCCTCCAAAAAGTCGAAAATCGACCCCAGGCCCGCTTGGTCAAAACCTCGAGGTTCGGACCAAAATTCATTTATCCATTCACCCCTGAGCCCGAATATATAATTAGTTTTGGAATCCGACCTCAAATTGAGGTCTAAATCCCCAAATTTCCGAAATCCCTAGTTTTTACCCAAAACCCCTAATTGTACCATGAAAACCTTAGATTTTAGGTTGAAATCTTGTAAAATGTAGTGAAAGATTGAAAGAAACCAGTTTAGAATCACTTACCTATGATTTGGGGAAGAGATGGTCTTTGAAAAATCGCCTCTTGTGTTTTAGGTCTTGAAAATTTGGGAAATGAATGAAAATTCCCGTCCAAAAGTCATTTTGTTCAGCCGCAGACGTCGCATTTGCGACCTGAGCTTCGCAATTGCGAAGGGGCTATCGCAATTGCGAAGCCTTCACAATCCTGCTGCACTTCACAAATGCGAGGAAAGTGTCGCAACTGCGATCATTGACCTCGCAAATGCGGACAAAAGATCGCATTTGCGATCCATACCCCTCCCAGACACTCTTCGCAAATGCGAAGAAAAATTCGCAATTGCGAACACAGGCTGGCCCAACTTCTCTTCGCATTTGCGATGAGAAGTTCGCAAATACGACTTCAACAGTGATCGCAAATGCCAACCCCGACCTCGCATTTGCGAGGTCTGAGGCCTGCAACACAGCTGAAGCACACCAGCTATTTTTCTAAGTCCAAATCACTCCGTAGCCTATGCAAAACTCACCCGGGCCCTCGGGGCTCCAAACCAAACATGCACACAAGTCTAAAAATATCATACGAACTTGCTCGCGCGATCAAATCGCCAAAATAATACCTAGAACTACGAATTTAGTACCAAATCAAATGAAATTCTCAAAAACACTTTAAAATTTATATTTTCTCAACTGGATATCCGAATCACGTCAAATCAACTCCGTTTCTCACCAAATTTCACACACAAGTCTTACATATCATAATGAACCTGTATCGGACTCCGGAACCAAAATACAGACCCAATACTAACAATGCCAATTATTAATCAATTCTTAAAAATAAATAATTTCCACACTTTTAATTTTCATCAAAAATTCATAACTCAAGTTAGGGATCCCCGAATTCAATTCCGGGCATACGCCCAGGTTCAATAATTTGATATGGACCTACCGAGACCGTCAAAGCACGGATCCGGGCCCGTTTACCAAAAATGTTGACCGAAGTCAACTAAAATCAACTTTTAAGGTAGAAATTCTTATTTTCATCAATTTTCAACATAAAAGCTTTTCGAAAACCTGTCCGGACTCTGCACGCAAATCGAGAAGGGTAAAAAATAAGATTTTTAAGGCTTAAGAGCGCAGATTCGAGTTCTAAAACATAAGATGACCCTTTTGGGTCATCACATCAGTACTACCAGTCTTGGGAGGTTATTATATTCATATTTGTTCCGCTGTTGGTTTTGATTATCTATTTAATTCAGATTCTATTTTTTTTTAAATGGCTTTGAAATGTAATGAAATCGGCTTACCTAGTCTTAGAGATTATGTGTCATCACGACGCATGTGGTGAGATTTTGGGTCGTGACAAAACGCCTCGCCTTACGCCCACGCCTTTTAAAACACTGATTAGCACCTTGTTGTGCTCATTCCATAGGGGGGAGGAAGACTAAAAAATTATCATATTTTTTATTGCTATAATAAAATTACAAGGCATTGCTTTGAATATCTTTTTACAATATTTTAGTCTTTAAATTTGAATTAAAAAATTAGGCCACAATTCTATAATAAAATTACAAGGCATTATCTTAAATGTTTTTTTAGCATCTTTTTGTCTCTAATTTCTATTTAATTTTTTTTAAAAAAATGACTACATAGCCGTTGGGCCCATTTAACCCGTTGGGACCGTTGATCATTAATTCAAAATATCAGCACCATCATTTCTTTTAAGTATTCTAGTAAATCAAAAAAAAATTCGTAACGAAGTAATACGACATTCTAGATAGGAAAATACACCCCTTCAATTCAAACATACATAGTTTACATAATTGAATCATAGCCACAATTAAATTTCCACTTATTGATGATTGACACATAACTATAAGCAAAACAAGCCAAAGCAAGTTCAATAAGAAAATAAATACACCGCTTCCATCAATAATTACAAATAAAAATAATATCCCTTGCTCGTGTATTAAGGAGTACGATTTATTTTTTATAGAAAATTATGTAGCGGGCACTATAAAGTATAAACATATTGGGTATGCACCTGATTATATCAGTGTGAATGGACAATATCATCCTTGTTATTGGGCGTTTATCTCTTACTCACTAGTGAAATGGGCTAATGAATTGAAAATTGAGCCTATGACAATTTGGTCATTGGGCTCCCTTTCTTTCAAGAAGAATTAACCCAAATAGCCGCCCACCTAATCTCTTAATCTAAAAATAGCCTATGAATGTATAGTATACGTATAATTCGTATATAATATATGTATAACTTTGTATAAATAATGTATAATCTATGTATACCGGCTAGAAAAGATAAACATTGAATCTGACCGGCTATTTGTCTAATAATCCCTTCTTTCAAGGGAAATACTCTTGGGCTTCTAAAAAAGAAGCCCATTATTAATGGGTTACTTAACCGGGCCGAGTTTGGAGCAAGACTAAGCTGTTCCGGTATCTAGCATTTGACAAAGCTGACGTGGCACTATTTATCAGTACATGATGTACTGTACATCTCATAAATTTTCAACGAGGTACTTTAATTTAGAGAACATACTAAACACACTATATTATAATTTAATATCGGATGCACCTCTTATATTTTTTTAAACACTCATACCCCTTATATTATAGAAATCCTACACTTAAACCCCTATAAGGTATATCTATAGCTAAATATATTAAAAATAATTTAATTCAAATTAGTTTTAAACAAACTAAAGTCTATAATAATCTATCCTTCGGCGTCAAAAATATCTTAAAATTACTTAATTCGATGAACTTTATTTGTGTAGGATTTCAATTCTATAATAAGTTTAAATATCTTTAAATAGGGATACCATTATATTTAAGAGTTTTGAGAGGTTTTGTTTTTTGGCCAAATAGTAAAAGTCTGGGACAGACAAGTACAAATTTTAATCCATATTCATCCAACACCAAGTATTCCAAGATTCATTCAATGTAACTATAATTATAGTATGTTGCAAACAGGTCGAAATTACTACTCAGCTAGAATACAAATCCAGGAAAACCAAACACTTTGCTGTAGTAAGTCAATGTCGAGAGTAGAATGAAACCAGTACCCAATCGATGTTACATGGTAGAAAGAATTGATAAGAGTTTGAAGAGTCTACCGGCCACGTGCGATTCAAATTTCAGTAGAGATAAAAAAAAGTATTTTGTGATTTTTTTTATGTGTATAAATATTAGTTAATAAGATACCCGATGTGAATAAAAAGTATTTGTGATTGAGGCGTGTAAATTGATCTGAAAACCATATATCATTTAAAAAAAAAAAAGAAGAGTACCGCCTGTGAATAAATTACTTTATGATTGTTGTTTGGAAGAAATTAAATGGTACTTGTAATATTGATGCACATAGTCAAAGGAAATATGATACAGTCCACGGTTTAATACTCTAACTTCTATATGCATGAGCAGTTTTTCAGGTGAATTCCCCCAATTTAAGGTGATCGAAAACAAACATTCAAGTATATGAGCTAGACATAACAATATTATCGATATGACAACAGCAAAAGTTATATATTACTAAGTATAAATTTATCTTCTTGTCTCCACGTGATCAAGAGAAACGCAAACCTATGCTATTATTGGTCAATAAATTTCTCACCGCCAGATATATCCAATAAACAGCACAACCCACCTTACACTTTCGCTTGCAGCTGTTTTGTAAATCTACTGGTTTTCGAGTTTGTCAAAAGTATATATATCGAAAGCAACAAATAACAATACACTACTCTTTCTGACGCACTAAAGGATATTGAAATTTATGACATCCAAAACCAAAACCATGCATGTATGTAGCTAAGATCTGTAGACTGTAGCCAGCATTCGCGATTACTATCTCTTTTTCCATTTTTACGTACCAGACCCCATTTCTTTTTCAACGTAACTTCCTTTTTCTTATTAGAGAACCTTCTTTTTGTTATTCGGGATTCATAGGCTGGCAATTTAAAAGGGTAGGTTCTTCCGATCCCTTTTTTTTTTCTTTCAAAACTTTTAACTTTAGTACACTAAGTAATGTGATAAATCATTGTTACATTAATTATCTAGTAATATAAAGATAATTACATGGAAATATATAAGCTATATACCTAGAAAAAGAAGCAAATCTATTACTTGTTACGCCACGTTAAATTATAAAGATAGTGTAAAATTATGTTAGAGTATATAAATAAAATCATTTTTAATATAAATCCATTTTTGTTCTTTTTTGTTTTCCTACGCGTGTGTGTGTGTTTTGTTTTCTTTTTTGGTGGTGTGGCTGGATTACTGAGGCATGTTGTTCGTATTTAAAAATACTGTGGGCAAAGGAAAACCTAAGAGCTCCATCAGTGTATAATATAAATTCATTGTGATATATAAGACAGCTTAGAGGCATTTTCTAATAAGGTGGTGGAGAAAATGGCGAGGAAGAGGAAAATGAAAATATATAGTCAACATCGTTTGATCACTTTGGTAACTCTAATCAAGAATGAATGCAAGAGATATTATGCATGGTATGCTTGCATGGAATTAACATGATTTTCGTGTCTTTTTTTGGATCCATTATATTACAACTTCCTAATAATATCATTTTCTTCCTTCTTATCTTTGACTCTTTATTTTCCTCTGAGGTTGTAGACTTGTAGTTTGTGTGAATGCCTTCGAATTAGATATAAAATACATTCTTCTTTCATGTTTTTATAGGTAAGACGGTCATGTTTGGAGACATTAATATTATATCATTGGATCTAAAATTTGAACAAGCTTAAGCTAGCAGAGCATGCATAGGCAGTTTGTATGTTAAAACTTGGCATGAAAAGCTAATCTTATACTATAGTTTTTGAGTTTTCAAGTCTAATCTTGGAACCGTTCTGTCATTTAGGTAAATACAATTATCATGTATAAACTCGTAAGATATACAATATTCTCTTGGACGTAATTTCTTTGTAGTTTCTACCAATTTTACTAGTATTAAGTTTCTTTGAGTACTTTTGCTATTCTTTTTTATGTATATATTGGGATCCTTTCTTTGTGATTTATGATTTTCTTGATAATCCATAATTAAGCGCATGTTTATTCTTTTGCATTGATATATGCAATTCTTTTCCAAATACATAGCTTTAATCATGACTTTCTAATTTCTATTTATGCGTTTGAGTTGTTTGTTGTTAGGTCGAAGCAATTCTTAGAAAGTGAATTCAATATTCAATTTTTTCCCATCACAGGAAATTTTATAATGCCTCTCTTGGTTTATTGATTTAATAATTTTGAAATAAACAGATTCTTACTAATATGTGATTTTTTTTTTTTTTTGAGATGGTTATCTTGCTTTAAGGATGAGACTCCTCTACATTTTCCATTCTCTCACTTTTCCCTAGTTCTGGATGAGAGCCACATGGCATAGTTAAGATTTAAGAGTTAAATGTTGAGATTTAATTAACTAAAGCAATGTTCTAACCGTGGTTAGGATAATTAGTATTTGCTTATCAATTTCTTAAGTTTCCGATAACTCTTCTTTTTTCTAGTTTTATGAATTTCCATAATTTCTTAAGTTTCTGATAATTCTACTTTTTCCAATTTTCTTAACTTCCATATATAATAATATCTTAAGTTTCCAAAAATTCTTCTTATCTTCAGTTTTCTGAACATCCATTATCTCGAAAAAGAGTTAATCATTACTAAGCATTTGTGTTAATCTTTACTAGCTTGCTTCATAGTTAATCCCTTATGATAGCTAATTTTAAATGAGAGTGTCATCTCTCTAGGAGTGAATTTCTTCACTAGAAATTTTAATATCAAATAGATTCGTTTTCACTTTTTTATGTGGCAAATATTATTTTGTACCGTTCTTTAATTTTATTATCAATGGTGGGAGTTTACATCTAATATTTTTCATTTTTGGATGGAAATAAGTGTTGGGTTTAAGCTTCTTAGAGCTTAAAAAGGATAAATGGGAAATGGAGGGAAAAATACAATTTTGATTTCCCCTCCTTGACAAAGGGACATTGTCCCATATTTGAGTAGAAAAAGACTTTTGATGGATATATATACAATTGCTCTTCTTCTAGCTATTAAAAAGTTAAGGAGAAGGCAAGCCTCGCGCCGTCACCATTGCTCGCTCGGCTTCGGCTTCAGATAATTCAACTTTCCTCCGTTTTAATTTTCCCGTTATAATTTGAATTTGGCGGTTTGCATAAATGGTCGTTTTATGAAACAACCATTTTGAGGTGCAACCTTACATGAAGAGTTGTAACTCTTCAGTATAACCCAAAGCATTTTGGCTATAAATACATGAACTCTCCTTCAGATTTTTTTTACGAAATTCAGATTTATCCTTCTTCTTTCTACATTGTTTTAACACAAAAGAAAGCAGTAAGTGTGATTTATTACTGTTCTTTGCCTTCGTTGTCACTAGGGTTTGAAGTACCGCTACACCAGTGAGGGTAATCCGTTCTATCCTGGGAGAAAATAATCCCAAACCTCAGGTACTAGAAGGAGATTAAGTTCCTTAAGGAAACACTATGAATTCGGTGGGCTCGGAATAATTCTATTCTTCTATATTTCTGGTTTTATATCGTTTTACTTTTTAATATATTTTCGAATACAGAGTAATAACAAGCTTAAGGAACTTAACTTTTTTTTTTTTTTTTTTGTATTTATCTTATATTCTGATTGTGGGAGACTAACTACTCTCAGTTTGGAGACCAAAATCTTCGGATTTTCTACTTTTTGGTTGACATTACGAGATTAAAATCTCTGTGATTTTCTACTCGTTCTGTATTCGGTTTGAAGAAATAAAATCTTCACCGTAGTATTTAATCTGTTTCTGTTAAAGTTGTTCGGTTTGAAGATTTTAAATACTTCACCGTTAATTAATTTTGTTTCTGTTTTGTTGTTAACAGAAATGACAGAACCAGTAACTCCCGTGGTTGGCTCTACGAGCAATGTTGCTACTTTCAGTCGTTCTGTGCCACTACCGGCTCCGGCGGAAAAGCCCAAAAAAATTTTCGAGATTGATTTCAAACTTGGCAACAGAAGATGTTCTTCTATTTGACTATTTTGAGTCTACATAAGTTTATTGTGATGACCTGATAGGTCATCTTGTATTTTTGAACCTAATTATATGTTTCGAGGTCTCAAAAATCTCATTTTAGCCTTTATCAATTTGCGTGCACAGTCCGAGTATTTTTTCGGAAGTCTTATATGTTAAAAATTGATAACAATAAGATTTTTACCTTAGAAATTTATAAGTTGACTTCGGTCAACTTTTTATGCAAATGGATCCAGATCCGTATTTTGACGGTCCCGGTGGGTCCGTATCATAATTTGGGACCTGGGCATATACCCGAAATCAAATTCGGAGGTCCTTAACCCGAGTTATTGATTTTTGTTGAAAATTGAAAGTCTGAAAGTTTAATAACTTTTAAGAATTGACTCATGCTTGGTCTTGTTGATACCGGATTCGTATTTTGGTTCCGGAATCCGGTACAGGTCAACTATAATATTTATGACTTGTCTATCGAATTTGGTGGGAAACAGAATTGATTTGACGTGATTCAGACGTTCAGTTGTGAAAATAGAAGTTTTAAAGTCTTCTTGAAAATTTTCTTTGATTTAGTGTTTGATTCGTAGTTCTAGGAGTTATTTTGGTGTTTTGATTATACAAGCGAGTTTATATAATGTGTTAGGACTTGTGTGCATGTTTGGTTTGGAGCCCCGAGGGCTCGGGTGAGTTTCGGATAGGCTACGGGTTGAATTGGACTTAGAAAAATCTGGTGTTTTGCTGCAGCTGGTGTTCTGATGCGTTGTGTTTCGCGATCGCGAAGCCATTCTCGCGATCGCGAAGGGGATCTGGGTTGGGGGAGGATTTTTCACTACGCGAACGCGAGACCATGGTCACGAATGAGGAGCATTAGGGGGTTTTGCTTTACGCGAACGCGACCCGTCATACGCGAACGCGTAGCTTTAGCTAGGCTGGGCAGGGGGCTTAAGGTGACTCTATGCGAATGCGAGCTCTGCCTCACTAATGCGAAGGTGAGGCGGGCTATACCTTCGCGAACGCGTGGTGTCTTTTGCGATCGCGTAAGCTACTAGGGCTCTGTGCTTCGCGAACGCGTCAGTGTTCACGCGAATGCGATGAACACTGAGGCCGAGTGATAAAACAGTCCCAATTACGGGATTCTTGCCATTCTTTCAAAAATTTCAAAACTAAAAGACCTAGAGGTGATTCTTCCATAAGATTTTCTTCCCAATTTGTTGGTAAGTGATTCTAACCTACTTTCTTTTAATTACCCGTTATATTTCATGAGTTTTCAACCTAAAATCTAAGTTTTTCATGGTGAAAATTGGGAGTTTGGGTAGAATTAGAGATTTTTGCATAATTGGAATTTAGACCTCGAATTGAGGTCGGATTTCGAAATAAATTATATAATCGGGCTCGAGAGTGAATGGGTGAATGGATTTTGGTCCGAACCTCGGGTTTTGACCAAGCGGGCCCGGGGTCAATTTTTTGACTTTTTGGGAAAAAGTTTGGGGAATCTAAATTTATGCATTGTAATTGATTTCTTTAGCAATATTTGATTTTATTGAGTCGTTTGTGGATAGATACGATTGGTTTGGAGGTGGATTCTAGAGAAAAAGCGGTAATTGAGCATTGAGTGGCCTTTAGAGCGAGGTAAATATCGTGGTTAACCTTGACTTGAGGGAATAAGACTTGTTTGTCTATTTGCTACATGTTTAAATATTGGGGAACAACGAATATGTGAGGTGACGAGTACTTATGCATTGTAGTCGGGTTAAAGTATGCGGGCGAGCTTGGTTTCTTGCAATTATAGCTTCTTTTATTCATGTTATCCATGTTTAGACTAGTATTGTTAAATTGACCGTTCTTATCATGTTTACGGATCTTCTAGTGATAATTGAGTATTGATTCCAAAGTTGAAGTTGATATTGTGGAACCAAATGTTGGAGTAAGGCTTGTACTTGTTATTCTATCTCCCTGCTGTTATTTGTTCATTGCATTATGGTAAGGGAGAGTGTTAATGCACGAAGGGTGATGCCGTGCCATATTGTGAGTGTTAATGCACGAAGGGTGATGCTGTATTATATTCTGAGTGTTAATGCACGAAGGGTGATATCGTGCCATGTTATGAGAGTTAATGCACGAAGGGTGATGCCGTGCTGTTTCTATTGATTTTATGGTGAGGTTGAGAGTAAAAGCACGAAGGGTGATGTCGTGCATTTTTCCTTTACTGTGTTTACTTGTTCTTATTGGTTCATAGTATATTTGTTGTTCAAGTTACCATTCTATTGTAGTTCTCTATCTCGTATTCCCCTCAGCATGTTCCCCCTCCCAATAGTACATGTTTAGCTGTTATTTGTACATATACTGTTAAATTGCACATGTTTGTTATGTAGGTGTCTTGTCATAGCCTCGTCACTACTTCGTCGAGGTTAGGCTCGACACTTACCAGTACATGGGGTCGGTTGTACTGATACTGCACTCTGCACTTTCTGTGCAGATTTTGGTATTGGTCCCAACTGATCGAGAGGCATAGCCGGACTGGTTCATCGGAGACTCAAGGTAGATCTGTTGACATTCGCAGATCTTGAAGTCCCCGTCTATCTTTTCAGTTTTTTTTACTGTTTTTTTCGTTCAAACAGTTGTATTTCTTTCAGACTTTTACTTGTAGTAAATCCTAGAAGTTCGTGAATTGTGACTCCAGATCAGGGTGGTAGTAATTAATGAAGTTGTTATATTATTCTGCACTCGCTGTATTTCATTTTAGCTTCCTTGCTGTTATTTACTGAATTAAATAAGGATTGGCTTAATAATTCTCTAACGTCGGCTTGCCTAGCAAGTGAAATGTTAGGCGCCATCATGGTCCCGACGGTGGGAATTCCGGGTCGTGACATTCATCAAGGAGGACGTTCCGGTTCTGCCGGAATCAACTCCTGATAATGAACGTTTTATAGTGACTGAGGCATGGAAGCACTCAGATTTCTTGTGCAAGACTTACATTCTTAGCGGACTGGAAGATGATCTTTACAACGTCTATAGTAATGCAGAAACTTTTAATGTACTATGGGATGCGTTAGAAAAGAAGTATAAAACCGAGGATGCCTGTTTAAAGAAGTTTGTTACAGCCAAGTTTTTGGACTATAAGATGGTAGATAGCAAGACTGTCATTACCCAAGTTCAAGAGTTGCAAGTTATAATTCACGATCTCCTTGCTGAAGGTATAATCCGAATTGATGCTTTTGTTGAAAGTATTAATTTTGTCATTAATTACGAATTGTTCATTGAAGGTTTAGTCATCAATGAGGCATTTCAAGTTGCATCAATGATTGATAAGTTGCCTCTTTTATGGAGGGACTTTAAGAACTACTTGAAACATAAGCGCAAGGAGATGAAACTCTAAGATCTCATCATTCGATTGAGGATTGAAGAGGACAATAAAGCTGCAAAAAAGAAGACACGCGGGAACTCAACAATTATTGGAGCAAATATTGTTGAAACTGCTCCAACTAATCTGAAGAAGCGAAAGAAGTCTTCTGGACCAAACAACTATCCCAGCAAGAAGAAATTCAAGGGAAATTTCCACAACTGTGGAAAGGGTGGACACAAAGCTGCAGAATGTCGTGCTCCAAAGAAAGAGAAGAAAAAGGGACAAGCAAATATGGTTGAAACAAATGATGATATTTGATGACTTGTGCGCTATGTTGTCTGAATGCAACTTAGTGGAAAATTCTAAGGAGTGGTGGATTGATTCTGGTGCCACCGGCCATATTTGTGTTGTTAGAGAAGCATTTGCATCATATGCTCCCGCTGGACCCGACGAGACCATTTTTATGGAAAATTCTGCAACTGCCAAAATTGAAGGTTATGGAAAGAAATTCCTGAAGATAACCTATGGCAAGGTGGTGACTCTGAACAATGTTTGTCATGTTCCTGAAATACGGAAGAACTTAGTTTCTATTTCACTTCTCATCAAAAACGAGTTTAAGTATGTTTTTGTTTCAGACAAAGTTGTAACAAGTAAGAACGAGATGTACTTAGGAAAATGTTACCTTACTGAGGACCTTTTTAAGCTGAATGTAATGGTTGTTTACAATAATAAGATTTCAGCTTCTTCTTACTTACTTGGGTCAAATGATATATGTCATATACGTTTGGGACATGTCAATTATAAAACCTTGCGAAAAATGATTAATTTAGAAGTATTGCCTAAATTTGAATGCGACAAATCAAAATGTCAAATATATGTGGAATCTAAGTATGTTAAATATCCTTATAAGTCAGTTGAAAGGAATTCAAATCCTTTAGACTTAATTCACACAGATATTTGCGACATGAAGTCAATACCATCTCGCGGTAGAAAGAACTATTTCATAACTTTTATTGACGACAATACTCGATATTGCTATGTTTACTTACTTAATAGTAAAGTTGAAGCAATAGATGCATTTAAATAATATAAAAATAAAGTTGAAACGCAACTTGACAAGAAAATCTAAATGATAAGAAGTGATAGGGGTGGTGAATACGAATCTCCTTTTGTTTAGAATATGGAATTATTCATCAAACAACGGACTCTTACACGCCCCAATCCAATGGGATTGTGGAAAGAAAGAATCGATCATTAAAGGAAATGATGAACGCTTTGTTGATAAGTTCTGGTTTGCTACAGAACTTGTAGGGGTAAGCCATTCTTATGGCTAACCGGATATTAAACCGAGTACCCCATAGCAAAACGCAATCCATTCCATATGGAAAATGGAAAGGAAGGAAGCCCAACTTGAATTATTTTAAAGTGTGGGGGTGTTTGGTAAAAGTGCAAATTCCTAAACCCCAAAGGGTAAAGATAAGACCGAAAACTATTGATTGTGCTTTCATAGGATATGCAACAAATAGTAAAGCATATCGATTTATGGTTCATAAATCAGAAAATCCCGACATTCATAATAATACGGTTTTAGAATCAGATAATGCTGAATTTTTCGAAAGTATATATCCGTATAAAAAGGAATGTGAGTCGATTGGTGAAGGATCTAAACGACTTCAGGAGAAAACAAAAGAAAGTACGTATAATCAGGAGGATCCAATACGGAGTAAACGTTAAAGAACGTCTACTTTATTTGGACCAGATTTTGTGACTTTCTTATTAGAAAA